GGACATGTTATCTCTGCCACCGGTATCCAGGTAGACCCCAGCAAGATTTCAGCCATAGTGGACTGGAAGACTCCGCGGAATGTTCGTGAGGTGAGGAGCTTCCTTGGGTTAGCCGGTTACTATCGTCGATTTGTTAAGGGCTTCGCCTTGATCGCTACTCCATTGAACAAGCTACTGCGGAAGGACATCAAATTTGAGTTGTCAGAAGCGTGCCAACGCAGTTTTGATCAACTGAAGGAGTGCCTGACCCAGGCACCAGTCTTGATTCAACCTACTCCTGGCATCGAGTATACCATCTATAGTGACGCATCTCATAGCAGCTTAGGTTGTGTACTGATGCAAATGAGTAAGGTAGTGGCCTACGCATCGAGACAGTTGAAGACTCACGAGGAGAACTACCCGACACATGATTTAGAGTTGGCAGCCGTGGTGTTCGCCTTGAAGATTTGGCGCCACTACATCTTTGGAGAGAGGATTCACATCTTCACCGATCACAAGAGTTTGAGGTACCTACTCACCCAGAAGGAATTGAATCTTAGACAACGTCGATGGTTGGAGCTAATCAAGGATTACGATTTAGTCATTGAGTATCACCCGGGCAAGGCTAACATCGTGGCCGATGCTTTGAGCAGAAAATCGTTAGCCGAGCTATAGCTTTAGTCTCCGTTAGAGCAGGAGATCCGTACGGCACAGAGAGATGATGAGTTTTGTCAGAAGACTCGAGAGTTAGTTCCTACAGGGAAGAGGCCCGAGTTTGCAATTCGCGATGACGGAGTCTTGTACTATCGTGAACGCCTAGTGGTGCCCCGCGGTGGAGTGAGGGATCGCTTGTTGCGCGAGGCTCACGAAACCGTATACACTATGCACCCGGGTAGTAACAAGATGTATCAGGACTTGAAGAAATCCTATTGGTGGCCAGCTATGAAAAAGGAAATCTCCGAGTTCACTGCGCGCTGTTTGACTTGTCAGCAAGTCAAGGCTGAGCACCAGGTTCCGACAGGGTTGCTGCACCCTCCTACCATTCCGGAATGGAAGTGGGAAAGGATCACTATGGACTTTGTGATCGGATTGCCACGATCTTCACGAAAGAATGACGCCATCTGGGTCATTGTTGACAGGTTGAC